GCCTCAGCAAATATAAGAAAATAGAAATTATACCATGCATACTATCTGATCACAATGCAATAAAACTAGAACTCAACAACAAAAGTAAAGACAAAAAACATGCAAACAGCTAGAAACTGAATAACTCATTACTTAATGAACAATGGGTCATTGATGAAATAAAAGAGGAAATTAAAAAGTTCCTGGAAATCAATGAAAATGAAAACACAACCTATTGGAACCTATGGGACACAGCAAAGGCAGTCCTGAGAAGAAAGTTTATAGCCATGGGTATATATATTAAAAAGACTGAAAGATCCCAAATCAATGACCTAATGATACATCTCAAACTCCTAGAAAACAAGAACAAGCAAATCCCAAAACAAATAGAAGGAGAGAAATAATAAAAATAAGAGCTGAAATCAATGAAATAGAAACAAACAAACAAAAAACATAGAATCAATGAAACAAAAAACCTGGTTCTTAAAAAAAATAAATAAGATTGACAGACCCCTGGCAAACCTGACTAAAATGAGGAGAGAAAAAACTCAAATTAGTAGAATCAGGAATGCAAAAAGGGAGATAACAACAAACACCATGGAAGTCCAAGAAATCATCAGAGACTACTTCGAGAACCTATATTAAAATAAATTGGAAAATCTTAAAGAAATGGACAGATTTCTAGATACATAGGATCATCCAAAACTGAACCAAGAGGATATTAATAAACTGAATAGATCTATAACACAAAATGAAATTGAAGCAGCAATCAAGAGTCTCCACAAAAAGAAAAGTCCAGGACTTGATGAATTCTCTGCTGAATTCTATCAGATCTTTAAAGAAGAACTGACACCAACCCTCCTTAAACTGTTCTACGAAATAGAAAGGGAAAGAAAACTGCCTAACACATTTTATGAAGCCAGTATTACGCTTATCCCCAAACCAGGCAAAGACACCTCCAAAAAGGAGAACTATAGGCTAATCTCCTTAATGAACATTGATGCAAAAATCATCAATAAAATAATGGCAAACCGAATTCAACAACACATCAAAAAGATCATTCACCACGACCAAGTAAGCTTCATCCCAGGAATGCAGGGTGGTGCAACATACGAAAATCAATAAACATAATAAACCACATTAACAGAAGCAAAGACAAAAACCACTTGATCATCTCAATAGATGCAGAAAAAGCCTTTGATAAGATCCAACATCATTTCATGATAAAAGCTCTAAGAAAACTAGGAATAGAAGGAAAGTACCTCAACATTATAAAAGCTATATATGACAAACCTACAGCCAGCATTATACTTAATGGAGAAAAACTGAAACCATTCCCTCAAAATCAGGAACTAGACAAGGATGCCCACTATCTCCACTCCTATTCAACATAGTACTGGAATTCCTAGCCAAAGCAATTAGGCAAGAAGAAGGAATAAAAGGAATACAAATAGGTAAAGAAACTGTCAAAATATCCCTATCTGCAGATGACATGATCCTATACCTTAAAGACCCAAAAAACTCTACTCAAAAGCTCGTAGACACCATCAATAGCTATAGCAAGGTAGCAGGATATAAAATCAACATAGAAAAATCATTAGCATTTCTATACACTAATAATGAACAAACTGAGAAAGAATGTATGAAAACAATTCCATTTACAATAGCCTCAAAGAAAATCAAATACCTAGGTGTAAACCTAACAAAAGATGTGAAAGATCACTACAAGGAAAACTATAAACTTCTGCGGAAAGAGACTGAGGAAGACTACAGAAAGTGGAGAGATCTCCCATGCTCATGGATTGGTAGAATCAACATAGTAAAAATGTCTATACTCCCAAAAGTAATCTACATGTTTAATGCAATTCCCATCAAATTCCAATGACATTCATTAAAGAGATTGAAAAATCTACCATTAAATTTATATGGAAACACAGGAGGCCATGAACAGCCAAGGCAATACTCAGTCATAAGAACAATGCTGGAGGTATCACAATACCCAACTTCAAACTATATTACAAGGCAATAACAATAAAAACAGCATGGTACTGGCACAAAAACAGACATGAAGACCCATGGAACAGAATAGAGGACCCAGATTTGAAGCCACACAACTATAACCAACTTGTCTTTGACAAATGTGCTAAAAATATACGATGGAGAAGAAGCAGCTTCTTCAACAAAAACTGCTGGGAAACTGGTTAGCAGTCTGCAAAAAACTGAAACTAGATCCATGTATATCACCCTATACCGATATTAACTGAGAATGGATCAAGGATCTTAATATCAGACCCCAAACTCTAAAGTTGGTACAGAAAAGAGTAGCAAATACTCTGGAATTAATAGAAGGGGACTAGGAACTAGAGAAAAGGTTAGTTCAAGGAGAATTAACTTAGAAGGTAACACACATGCACAGGAAATCAATGCGAGTCAACTCCCTGTATAGGTGTCCTTACCTCAACTAGCAAAAACCCTTGGTCCTTCCTATTATTGCTTATATTCTCTTCAACAAAATTAGAGATAAGGGCAAAATAGTTTCTGCCGGGTAGTGAGGGGGTAGCGGGGAAGAGGGAGGACTTGGAGGGGGTAAGGGAGGGGGTGGGGGAAGGGGTGAGAAAGGACCCAAACATTGTATACACATATGAATACAAAAAACAAAACAAAACAAAACAAAAAAAACCTCAATGGGCTCAGGCATCTGTGTGGTCCTGCAGACTCACTCAGGTCCTGCTGGTCCTATGAGACCAGCAGAGGGCAGGGCTCACAGGGGAGGAGCTTATATGGAGGCCTGTGCACTACCCAGACTGGTTAAAGTCAAATGCAGGACACTGATTCAGGATAGACTGCTGAAGAAATTACATGCACGAGCAGACTAGGTAAGATACCAAAGCCCACTTGGCAGCCTCAACTGTAATATCCATGCTGATACTAACACTGATACCAACAACAGCAGCCACTATTTCGGGAACAACTGCCAGATGCCAGGTGCCTGTCAGACTGAAACAGGCTTGAATTCTGGCCTGAGCTACTTAACGTCCCCACATTTCACTTTCTTCAGCCTCCAAGTGGAAATTAAAAATCAGGGACAATTGAGGTTAGTCTGTGGGCTGCTTTCCAAGGATGCCTAGCTTAAAGGAAGATTTTACCAGTGTTTTGTTTCTGCAGTTAGCTGCCATCCAGGGTGTTCATCTACCCTTAAGTAAACAGGAAGTGATGGTGTCGCCTTATCAGAGAGTCTTATAAATAAGCTCTTGACAGGAAAAGGATGTTTTGGGGTGGGTCTTGCTCGAGGGTCAGAGTGTCCCCCTAGGTCTCTTGTAGCTGTAAGAGTCTCCGCCTTGGGCTTGTTGAGAAAGTGTGTGCTGTCATCCTACCTGGCATCCTCAGGGAAGACCAATGGCATTTCAACCACTTGTCTAGGGTGGCTGAATATGGAACACAATTCTGGGTGGGATGTGTGGTTAAAGCACTGATGACCATTAGGATGTCATTACAAATTACTACCACTAGAGGGAAGTACTGGCCTTCCTTTCTCTCCAGTGGTCCCCCAAAGCTGCTCTGCTACTTCCCAGTTCAATTTCATCCATGGATGGAACCTGGGATCTCCTGGCCTCTCAGTTTTTCTTCTAGGTCACTGGATGATGTCTCTCCCAAGACTCAGGGGATACAGTTCCGCACATCAGGATTGTCAATGGCAAGAGAGAAGGCAGTCACCTGAGGTTCCCGTATAGCTCCATCAAGGTAAAGCTGTGCCTGGACATTTCCTGATACCCCAGACCTCTCTGCTAGGCTCTCTTTACCCTCTGGGGAGGCCCCCATCGTTTGTTTTTCTTTTGTAGTCACCTTGATTTGTTTTTTTCAAAGAAACTTAAACCTCACTCCCCAAGGTCCCCGCCCGCTACCCCCCAAAAACCTCAGACTAACAGATTTCCATTTATAGCCAGTGGCCAATTTAGTTCAAGCAATTATTGATACAAAACAATTTAGGGCAATGCAAGTTTGATACATACTCTCTAACAATGAAAGTGGGGAGGGACTGGGAAGAAGAGAAAGACATTATTTATTAGCCACATCCCCACCTCCAACTTTTAGACACTTTGTCTCAGGCTTTCTCAAACGTGCCCCACCACCTGTATCTAGCTAACCTATTTCTTTCAATCACCCATGTCTAACTTTGCACCTACTTTAGCTTAATCCTAAGTAATAATATCTTCGACATCACAAGGTTGCTATAATTCTTTTTTTTTTTTTTTTTGTGGTACTGGGGTTTGAACTCAGGGTATACACCTTGAGCCACTCCACCAGTCCTTTTTTGTGATAGGTTTTTTCAAAACAGAGTCTAGAGAGCTGTTTGCCTGGGCTGGCTTGGAACCACAATCCTCCTGGTCTCTGCCTTCTGGGTAACTAGGATTACAGGTGTGAGCCACTGGTGCCTGCCAGTTGCTATGTGATTTTTATTTTTTATTTTTTGGGTGGTGCTGGGGCTGGAACTCACGCCTCATGCACATGCGCTACCTACAGACCTACATATTATTTTTTAGTCCATATTAATTTAACACAGATAGTAGGAATGGGAATGCAGCTCATTGGTAGAGCCCTTGCCTAGCAAGTACAAGGCCTTATATTTGATTCCCAGCATTGGAAAAAAGAGTTCAGCACCCCCTCACCCATGCCAAAAAACCCCCCAAAACAAGGAAATAAACACATGAAAATAAAAACATTTGTGTCTACCATATAAGATTATTTTATGCTGCACATTACACATTAGGACACTGCATCATCTTCATAATTCTCCTGGCAATGCTAAGAATTTAAAAGAATTAGCTCCCTTTTAATATACAAGAAAACACAGGCACAGAGGAGCTAAGCGATCTTCCTAAGCCCATACATGGCTAAGCAGGGCTTTAAGCAAGTTCCCTTTACTTGGCTTTCACCTGGAGAGTGGGGCACATGCTTACACCTAGTGATTACTCAGCCTGGATCCTCAGCCACCCCTGCCCCCAGGAAAGCCACAACCTTACCCTGGCCAGGCTGACTCCAGCAGGGACCTTGTAGGGCACATACTTCCTATAGATATGGCCCACCCTGGAACAGGGGATGTCCTCCATGCGCCCCCCACACATCCATACCTGCAGGGTGAAAAAGGAGAAAAAAGATGATGGTTCTGCCTCCAATTCACAGTCCCTTGAAGACTAGCACACTTCAATGTGTTCAAAGAAAGCCTTAGCCAGGTGCCTGTTAAAAACTATAGCAGAACTAACCATGCGGGAGGACAGTAGCAACAGTGGAGACAGCTAACACTTTTTCACAGGAAACTGTGCTAAACTCTGCTTTGTAGATTCAGAAACTGAGGCCGAGAGAAGCTAAGAACCTGTCTGAAGTCACAAAAGTGGAGGAGCCAGAATTCCAACCCAGCTTTAACTGACTGCAACCTAAGCTTTGAAGTGCTGTGGTGAGAACTCTAAGGCGGCATTGGGGGCTAGGTCGGAAAGATTTGGGGCTGGCATAGAGATGTCTGTCACAGCTAAGAGAGGGGACCAGGTGGCACTCAGGCTCTGCATTTGCTGATGCTGGCATTAGAGTACAGAGTTTCCTCCAAGATCTCTGAGCCTCCTGCAGCTAACGGCACGTCCCCTGGCCTCCTGGTCCTCTTTCTATGTAGTCTGCTTGCTAAGCCATACAGCTGGGTACCACAGCAGTGCAGGATCTGATGTTCCTCCTCATGGCCCCCTCCTAGGAGGAATAGCTGGCATCACAAAGGGCTCCTGACTTTGCCTGTGTGAGGGTATGACAGCAATCTGAAAGCATGTATATTCAGTACTGATTTATAGCCACCCACAGCACCAGCCTAAACAAACTCTCCTCAGCAGGCCTGGGTTCAAATACTGTCCCAGCCACTTACCAACTTTATGACTTTGATCAAGGCACATCTCCTGGACTCAGTTTCCTCATATGTAAAGGGTTAAATGAGGGACTGGGGGACAAGATATTGCATGTAAAGTACTTAGCACAAGACTTGGCACAAGTTGTGTTAGATAACAATTATTAACTCATACATTTGACTAATTGAGTACCTGCTCCAGGCCAAACATTGTGCTGGGGACATACAGCAATGAATAAGTCAAAGTTCCCACTCTTATGAAAAGGGAGTACTGTGACCAGTCTATGAAGTGGCCCCTAAATGATGGTTCCTCCTAGCATCTGTGACCCTGTGTGGTTGTTTCCCAAATGTATCACATGGGTATGGCCCAATGTAACCAGTTGGACTGTATGGGAAAGATGGCCATAATGAAACTGTGCCTTCCACCTTTCTCTCTGGGGTCATCTGCTTTGGGGAGCCAGCTGCCATGTTTGAGGACACTCAAAGCAGTACTGTAGGGTTACTGGGTATGTGGCTCAGTGGGAAAATGCTGGCCTAGCATGACCAGGCTCTGAGTTTGATTCCAACCCTGGAAAAAAAAAAAAAAAAAAAACCAGAACAACAACAAAATCAAAGAATAAAAAAGAAAGGAAAGAAAGCAGTGCTACGGAGTGGTTCATGATGAAAAGAGTCAAGGCTTCCTGCCAACAGCACTCAGGTGCCAGTCGCATCAGTGCACCACCTTAGAAGCAGGGGCTCCAACCCAGCCAAACCTGCAGACAACCATGGCCTGGCTCACATCCTGACTGTAACCTCATGCTAGGTCCCTGCCAGAACTCTCATCACAGCTGCTCCTGTTCTGCCTGGGAGAAACTTGCTGATTATGCCAAGATGCATGCTTTGGGGTAGATCCCCTGGTGTCAGGGACGGGTTTACATCACATGTGCTACCCTCATCAGTAGGAAAAGCCTTGCTCGGGAGGGAATGTTTGAGGTAGGACTTATGTGACCAGAGGTAAAAGTAACATAAGGATCTGAAAGGGAGAGAAGAGCAAGTATGAAGGTCCTGAACAAAGAAGGCTGGAGGTCTGGAGCATAGGGCAGGAGGGGAGGCCAGAGAGGGACGTGGGGGCTCTCACAGGGTCTGGCAGGCAGGGTAAGTCCTCATAGGAAGTCTTCAGTGAGGGAGATGACATGGTTTAATTTACATTTTACACAGATGACTCTGCCTGAGGGGTACAGAGGGCCTATGGGGTGCAGGCCTGGGGCAGCCTCCCAAGAGTCCAGGCTGCCATGATTTGAGTCAGGAGATGGCTGTGGCCATGGTGGTACCCAGCTGCATCTGGGACGTTTTTACTAACCTTGTTTCCGTATTCTGTCACTTGTGGAATGAGGGGTAGGAGTGGGACACTCACAACCTCATTTCTGTGCATAAAACTGGAACAGCTAGATGGAACAGGAATCAGGGCTGGGATTCAGATCCTCATTAATTAGGCCTCTTGCAGAGCTGCTCTTCTACCTTATGTGGAAGGGTCCTTGGTCCTGTTACCTTCTGCAGTCCGTATCCCTAGCTTTGGTTTGCTAAATCCCTGAACTTCTCAAGGGGGATATGCATGGGGCTGCAATTAGTGGAAGTGCTGCTTGGAGAAATGCAATTATATTCTGATCTTGGGGGAGAAAAAAATCGAGCAAGTCAATAGAACAGAACACTGGTCTCAAGATAATGGGCTCCTGATGGTAGATTAATGTCAAGGCCAAGCCAAGAAGTTTATTTTCAAAGCAGGAGATATTGATCAGGCGCCAGCATCCCATAAGAATAATTCTTCCTTTATACAAAGTGACTGATGTGAAAGTGATGCTTTTGTCTGGCGAATACTGCCCAGGTCACCACTGGGCTGCCCTCTGCCTCTCTGGGTAGAGGCACTGAGCAGATGGGGGACACCTTGCCCTGCTGTATTTTTGAATGTGTCCTGGGCAGCTGGTTAGGCTAGTGTCCAGCTCCTTTGACTCCACATTAAACTTGCACTGGCTGACAAGGCTCTGACTGGCAGGGGGACCTTCCTTTGTGCAGATGGATGATCAATTTCCACAGACCTTTGGCCTTAACCACACTGGTCATCAGCCTGAAGGTACCTGAGGAACCAAAGTGACCTTGATCTGATGACAGGTTGTGAGGCATCCAGTGTGCCTTTAGAGTCTCAGAAGTATAAAGCCCAGGGGAGTTCTGGCTTGGGATGCTGGGCTCGCTCACTCCATGGTCCCTCTGGTCTGGATGAGATGTGCCAGTGGCTTACTCAGAATGGAGTTTCTTCTGAGAGGCAAGCTTGTTCAAAAAGCTAAAGCTACTGTTGACTCCTGAGTCCTCTGGAATCATGCAGTGCAGGGTGCCCAGAATGCACCTCACGCAGGGTGATAATACCTGTCTGAGGGACTTGGGGCCCTGTCCCCACACATTCCTTCACCCTTCCCTCATTCCACTCACCTCTTGCTCATCACAGGCTCCTCCCTCTATCCTGAGCACTCTGCCCACCCTGAGCTGGTCACCTCCTAACTCACCCTTCAGGTCCCATTAACTGCCGCCTCCTCAGGGGTTTCTCTGACATAGGCTTCATGGCTACTTTATGCCCACTCGTGGTCCCTGCACTCTTCCTCCACTACTTTAATCCAAAGTGCAATATTAACTATCCACAGGTTATGTCTCAGGTGCAATCCCCTGCAATGTACCTGTTGCCTTTGTCTATCCATACCTCTTCTCTGTTTGGGGACGGTCCTCTCAAATGTACTCCCTGGGGCCCATGACCAACTGACCAGCTGCTGCACTGAGTCTGTGGGTTCTGAGGCTGGTGTAAGGCAGGGTAATAGGTATTTTTTGGTTGTTATGTGTGCTGGTCTGGGATGGAGGGCCAAGAGGACACTATTAGTGCTGCCAGTGGCCACTTCTGCTGACACACAGTGAGGGAGGGCCTGCAGCAATGCAGCCAGCACAGAGGAGGAAGATGCTGGGGATGGTGAGAGATGCATGCTAGAGATCTGTGCCCAGTCATGCTGAATCCTCCCCCAACTTTTTCTGACTGTTGCCAACTTAAGAGGGTTTTATGTTGCTTTCAGCATGAAAGTCCTTTTCAGCCCCTCTGTGCCCCTTGGACTCCATGTCAGTGTGGGCAGGAGTTTCATCTGGCATTTGCCAGTGACCCCCAGTATCTGGCACAGTGCTTTGCCCAGTCCTTACAAACTTCATGAATAAGCAAATAAACGAACACTGATGCAAAGTTTCAGAACTGGGAGCTGACTGGACTGGAGACCAGGGTACCAATCTTTAGCCTCCAGAGGAAATAGCCTGTGCCGTCTCTGCTTCTGCTAATCTTACTTAGCCCTGGGTGGGGAGCTGGCCACTGTTGGTTCCAGTTCTGCTTCTGGCCCAGGTCACTCTTTGCATCTCAGGCCCCTCCCTTCCTGCATGGCTGAGGCAGTGGTTGTTTAAGACCCAGACAACCACACATTGTGGCCTGACCCTCCCCTTCAGCCCTCATGCTGCCATGTTACCTGTGTGACCCTGTGCAAGTTGTTCAGTCGGGGGAGCCCTACTCCCCCTGGCTGTGCATGGGATGGCCATCTCCAAGGCTGTGGAGCTGTCATGAGACAAGCATGAAAGGCACTCAGTTTGACACCAGGCCCTTAGAAAAGATGAACACTAGTCATTTCTCCTTTTAGAAAGTTGAGCAGTGTCTTGACATTATACAGCCTTCACCCTCTGCCCAACATCATCATGTTTTTAGACCACCATTTTTTTTTTTTTTGGTGGGACTGGGGTTTGAACTCAGGGCTTTGCGCTTGCAAAGTGAGCACTCTATGGCTTGAGCCACATGGCCACCATTGTGTCTTTTGTTCTGTGGCCTGGTTTCCCAAAGGAGGAAACAGATTCAGTGAGAGGAACCAGTTCTTCTTAACTGACTTAGTGGAAAAACCTTCAACTGATCAAGAGACTGACAGGGCCAGGTGGGGAGGGACAAAGTCGCCGGACACCACCTGGGGTCTCACTGTCTGTGGGCACTGTCCTCTCACCTAACCACAGGTAGAGACCAGTCAGTGGCAGAGATAGGGAGCTGAAGGGACGGCAGCAGCCAGATCACGTCCAGCCCAGAACCCATTGCATTTGGGATGGGAACAACACAGGCCACCAAGGTGACATTTTTGCAGTCTCTCTTCTTGTGGCATGTGGTGTCTGATGCCAGCTTTCTTCCTAACTTGGTCCCTCCCTAATGCCTGCCTT